GATTCCTGGCTGGTATTTCTTATGACAGTCCCAGAAGAAGATAAAATGAGACAGCTGGAAACAAGTATCTCCAAGCTTTTAAAAATCGATTTCTCTTCATTCCAATCTTCCACTTATCTATCCACATGTCATCCAGGAAACAATTACCAAGTGTCTAATATGTGCCAGGCTCTTTGCCAGACCCTGGGGATACAATGGTAAGCAAAACAGCCATTTACCCTGCCTTTGTGGGGAGTCTGTAAGGGAGATGGACATTAAGCAAATCTTCATACAATAAATGGATTATAACACACTGAGATAGTGCTTTGAAGGAATTGTAGAAGACGCTATGAAAGTAACAAGTAATTAGAAAACAAAATTTAAAAAAAAAACTAAACCTGCAAGACCACCAAAAATACTTAGGAATCAATGTAAGAAAAGATGTGTAAAAGCTCTTTGCTTAACACTAAAAAGCACCGTTGGGAGAAATTAAACACTTAAATAATAGAGCTAAGTCAGATGGGAAGGCTTGATGTGATCCCAGTTTCAACAGTTCCAAATTATCTATGGATTCAACACAATCCCAGCCAAAATTCCAGCAGGCTTCTCTGCAACAAAAACAAAACAAAACAAAAAAAAAGGTTCTATGGAAATGCAAATGACCTGGAAGAGCCAGAGCAATCTTAGAAAAGAACAACGCTACAGAACTTACACTTCCCAATTTCAATACTTATTATAAAACTACAGTCATCGAGACTGTGTAGAATGGGGAAAGGAAAGACGTAAGGATCACTAGACCGTAACAGAGACTCAAGAAACAGACTCACTTAGATACAATCAATTCATTTGCAGTTGAGGTACCAAGGTAACTCAACAGGGAAAAGAAAGTCTGGAACTGGGTAGGTAGGTAAAGATTTCTTAGGACATAAAAACACAAAACATAAAGGCAAACTAAATGAGCTAGATTTTATCAAAATTCTAATATATTTTTTGGTCTTCGAGAGAACAATTAAGAAAGTGGGAACATAAGTCATGTAGTGAGACTACATCTAACAGATGAGCAGTACCCAGAACATAATAATGAACTCTCAGATCTCAGTAATATGAAAATAATCTAATTTTTAAAAAATGGGCAGAAGACTTAAACAGACACTTTACAAAAGAAGACACAGATGGCCAATAAGTATTTGAAAATATGCTCGGGGATCCCTGGGTGGCAAAGCGGTTTGGCGCCTGCCTTTGGCCCAGGGCGCGATCCTGGAGACCCGGGATCGAATCCCACATCGGGCTCCCGGTGCATGGAGCCTGCTTCTCCCTCTGCCTGTGTCTCTGCCTCTCTCTCTCTCTCTCTCTCTCTCTGTGTGTGTGTCTATCATAAATAAATAAAAATTAAAAAAATAAAAAGAAAAAAAAAAAAGAAAATATGCTCAATCAACAGTCATCAGCGAAATGCTAATTAAAACCACAATGAGACACCATGCCGCATAATTAGAATGCTTAAAACCTAAGACTAAAAAATACCAAGGGTTGGCAACGCTGTGGAGCAACTGAAATGCTCATACATTGCTGGTGGGAATAAAAATGGTACAGCCACCTTGGAAAACTGGCAGTTTCTTAAAAAGTTAAACAAAAAGTTGACCATACAGCCCAGCCAATATATTTCTAGGTATTTGCTCAAGAGAACTGAAAATCCATATCTGCACAGAGACCTAAATAACAAGGTACATATAGCAGCTTTGTTCATACTAGCCAAAAACTGAAAAACAAAAAACCCAAACATCTAGCAACAGGTGAATGGATAAATAAAATAAAAAATATCCATGAAACAGAATATTATTTAGCAACAATGCTCTGAGAACCTGCAATAAGAGATCTAACTGAACCTAGGAGGTCAGGGAGGGCTTTCTTAAGGAAGAAGTAGATATCTGAAAGAAGGCTAGAGACTGACCAGGGAGGTAGAGTGGGTAATGAGAAATAACGAGCACTGCAGGTAGAGGCTTGGTCAAGAGCCCCTGGCAGAGGAAAGGTGGCACATTCATGTAAGTGAGACATGGTCTTGCTTAAAGAGCAAGGAGAGAGAAGAGAGATAGGAGTTGAGGCTGGAAGTTGGCAAGAGTCATGCCAGGCAGGCCTTATAGGCCTTGTTAAGGATTTTGATGTTTATCTTCAAGGCAATAAGAAACCTCAGAAAGAGTTTTGTTTTGTTTTGTTTTTTAAGATTCATTCATTCATTCATTCGAGATAGAGAGAGGCAGAGACACAGGCAGAGGGAGAAGTAGGCTCCATGCAGGGAGCCTGATGTAGGACTCCATCCCAGGACCCCAGGATCACACCCTGAGCCAAAGGCATATGCTCAACCACTGAGCCACCAGGTGCCCCTCAGAAAGGGTATTAAATAAGAGGGTGATAGATATAACTGGCTTGACATTTTAGATCCCACTAACTACAGAATGGAGAATTGACTATTGGGGCGTGAGTGGCTGGGAAGGAGCCTGTCATGGCCTCTGCCAACCTCCAGGTAACAGATTGTGGCTTATGTTGGGATGGGATGATGGAGAAGGGGAGAGATGGAAGCTTTCAATGGGCTCTGAAAAGCATGTGGGAATGTACTGAGGGGATAGAAAAGAAGACAGCTCCAATCTTGGACTGACTCCAAGATTATGGCTTGGGGGATGGAATGGGAAGAGCTCCTATGCTCCAATATGGAGAATGCTGGAAGAAGACCTAATCAGGTGGAGGTCTAAAGTCAGTTCTGGACACACTGGATTTGAGGTGCCTGGGAGCCATCTGAATGACAATGTTTACCAGGAATTTGGACATGCAGATGTTAAAGCTCACAGGAGCCCAGGATAGAGATTCAAAATTAGGTTTTATGAGATGGTAATTGACAATGCAGAAATACATACAACAGGTTAGAGAGAGCATAGGACCAGGATAAGAGAGAATCTGGAATCAAGTCTTAAGGCACTTGAACACTTAGAGGATGATTAGGGAAAGGTGGGCTAGTGAAGGAAACGAAGAGGTGACCCGGGGAAAGGCTGGGAAACCAGAAGAGCATAATACATGAGAATTCATGGAAAGAGAATGTTTCAAGAGGCTATGGAAACTGTGTTGAAGGCTAATAAAAGGGGAATAAAATGTCTACTAAATTTAGTAGCATAGCAGTCACTGCTAATCTTAGGATAAGCTGGTCCTATGGGGGAAAAAAAGGGATATAACCCAAATTAGAGTGGATAGGAGACGGGAGTGGTGACTGAGGGATAAGGAAGTAGAGAAAGTGATTATACATAATTTTAAGATAATTGGCCCAACTTCCTATTCTAAAGCTGGGTTGTGATGATGATGAAAGAAAACAACTTGGAAGAGATTGTGAAAGACATTGCCTTTGTGTAAGCTCGGCCCTTGAATTTAGCTTGAGATGTTGCATTTCCTTTTCCTGTGACATAGGTGGATGTTGTGAGTCATGAGTTCAAAGTTTCCTTTATTATGTTACCTTCATAACTACCCCGAATGTGGAGGAGGGGGCTCAGTGGTGCCCCTTCAACTTAGGTGACACACCACAAGGACAAGAGGAAGGCACGGGGCACAGGAAGGACAAGCAGAGATAAGGCAGTTGTCCTACTCCTCAACACTTGCATGCCAGAACTTTCTGCTTTGTCATTAAACCCAGATCCTCATGAACGTTATAGAAAATCATAAAAGCAAAATGACACAAATATATCAGAGAATGGTCTCTTCCTTAGCTCCCCTGTTTATCTGGGAAGTGCATGTGTGTACTGGGAGAAGGAGACAAATGCCAAGATCGAACTCCTTGCTTCTAGTGGAGGGTAGAGCTGAAGAGAAAGAAAAGCTACTATTTAGGATCCCTGGACCCTGGGGTTCTAGACTACAAAACCAATAACTGACTAATGAAATGCCTGCCTGAATGAGCAAACAACACGGGATGAGAGAAGTCCCGGGGGAAGAATTCTGGAAGCAGGGATCAGGCCACTGATGGCAAAACACAGACCCATTCCCTAGGTTGAGAGGAAACCGTGTTCCGACTCTGTTTCTTCAGATGTGTGTATCTGGACAGGAATTGAGGAGCTTCTAATCTGGAGCTCCACAGAGCAGGGGGGAAAGTGAGGGAGGAACAAGGGTGGCTCAGAGGTGAGACCCAGCCCACAGGGAGAGGGGATCTATGGGGGAAAGACACGGGAGCCTGAGCACAACTCCCCTATAAAGAGCCACACAGGTATGCGGGGCCTCCTGAATCCCTGATACTCCCCCAAGTCAGAAGGCATGTAGGTGCCCTCCGCCTCCGGCTGTTTTACCAAGTGGCTCGCTCTCACCAAAGCTCCAGCAGACTTCCACTCATGGGCACCCACCAAGTGCTCACCACTGGCCCAGATGCTCCATACATGCTGTCTCATCCACACCTCACCCAAACCCTGGGATTTAAGTATTCCCATCCTCACTTAACCCAAAAAGGAAGCTAAAATTCAGAATATTCATCTGCCCCAAGGTTACAGTGAAGGGACCTGAGTCTGAGCCCACATCTGCATGACTCTAAATCCCATGCTATTTCCACCAGAACAAGACTCGGGCTGGGTGAAACCAAACTGTCCCAATCAAGAGGGCAAAAGAGACCTGTTGGGGGCAGAAGGCAGGAGACCCCGTATAAAGAAAAAAATTGAAGAATCAAAGGAAACAAGAAACTTCTTTCTTGAAAATGAGAAGAATCACAAAAGAAATTGCCTAGAAAAGAGAAGATGAGATCATCTAACTTGAGAAATGGGAAAAATGCTTGGGAATGAAAAAATAATCCAGGACCTAGGGACGGAGAATCTGGTTTGGAAGTCGAGTGAGGATCTCTGGGGGGAGAAGGAAGATGCCGGCGGGCGCCCCACCATCCTTCAGGTTTGAGAGGAGACAGTGTTCAATTACTGACCTTCCTCTCTCTGGTCACATGACCTGTGCTAGTATAAAAGCTTTCTACCAGCAGGTTCCTTACAATTTTTTCCTGTGTGAAATGGGCAGTAGCAGTGGCTAAAGGCCCGTTCCTCTTCCCCAGAAGCTTTCCGACTTTCCTTCAGGACTAATCCCAAGAAGCCATCTCTCTGGACTGCAGACAAGGCAAGGCAGCTGGCTCTGTGCTTGTGCTCTGGGAAGTGATGCTGGGATCTGGACTGGAGGGGGAGGTGCCGGCGGGGCTGCCCGAAGTCTGTGAGAAACTGGATGTGAGGCTCATACCTGCAGCCAGTGTAGCTGGGATCCAGGAAAGAGCCAGGGGACCTCAAGCCTGGAGAGAGGACGGAGGGGGTGGGCTGTGTTAGGGCAGCAGGGGTCACAAGCCAAGTGGAAACCGAATGACCCCGTTTACAGTTCTTCTGTTTACACTCAAAACACCGGGCTCTGGAGCCAGTTGCTGCCTGTGGGTTTTCTTGAATCTGCTCTGAAGCCGTTTAGAGGACAAGCCCCAAAAGATAGCACAGGCTCACCCTTCCCCCCCAATGCCCCTCCCTACACTTCATTAGCTTCCTCCTTTCAGTCCCAGAGTTGGGTATTGGTCAGGGGAGGAAAAGGTGGAGGAGAATCTGTGTTCTGCAAAAGGACAGGAGGACGAGGTAGGGAGATGGGTTGGGGGGCCAGGCCCCCGCTCCCTGGGCGTGTGGCGGGGTCCTGTGAGGAGCTGGCCCTGGGTCCCAGGGCCTGGGCTTTCCCAGCCTCGAGCCCCTGAGCGCTCACAGCCCTCTCCTCGGGAGAGGCTCGCCCTTTCTCTCCGCGGATCTCCGACCGGGTAAAGAACTCAAGGAAAGTTGGAAGCTGATAACGGCAACTTCCTGTATCTGTGGGGAGAGAAGGAGAAAGCCATGGGTTGGTCCCCCCCAGAGACACATGATGGCAAACGTAATAACTCCCGCTTACTATCCCGCCCCAGGCAAAGTCAATAATTGCTCTGGGCAGTTCTGGCAGGTGTGCGAGCAAGCGGCGGAGGCGGCACAGGGCTCTGGCCGGGGAGGGGACAGCAGCACGGGGGATGTCCACGTCCTGAAGCGGAGGGGGGTCCTCAGGCTGCCAGGGGCACCTCCTGACCCTGCCCTTTGTCAACCTCTTCCAGAGCCATCATGACAAACTGGCGCAGCCCCCTCATCTTCACGGCCTACATCGTCATCTTCCTCACCGGCCTCCCCGCCAACCTCCTGGCCCTGCGGGCCTTCATAGGACGGGTCCGCCAGCCCCACCCGGCCCCCGTGCACATCCTGCTGCTCAGCCTGACGCTGGCGGACCTCCTGCTGCTGCTGCTGCTGCCCTTCAAGATGATCGAGGCCGCGTACGACTTCCGCTGGTACCTGCCCGAGTTACTCTGCGCCCTCACGGGGTTCGGCTTCTACAGCAGCATCTACTGCAGCACGTGGCTCCTGGCGGGCATCAGCATCGAGCGCTACCTGGGAGTGGCCTTCCCCGTGCAGTACAAGCTGTCCCGCAAGCCGGTGTACGGAGTGATTGCGGCCGTGATCGCCTGGGTCATGTCCTTCGGTCACTGCACCATCGTGATCATCGGCCAGTACTGGAACTCAACCCATAATGACACAAATGACAATGGCATCACCTGCTATGAGAACTTCACCAAAGCTCAGCTGGATGTGGTGCTTCCTGTGAGGCTGGAGCTGTGCCTCTTCCTGTTCTTTGTCCCCATGGTGATCACCATCTTCTGCTACTGGCGCTTTGTGTGGATCATGCTCACCCAGCCCCACGTGGGGGCTCAGAGGCGGCGCAGAGCTGTAGGGCTGGCTGTCGTGACGCTCCTTAATTTCCTGGTGTGCTTCGGGCCTTACAATGTATCCCACTTGGTGGGGTTTTTCACGAAGAAGAGCCCCCAGTGGAGGGCTGAAGCCGTGGTATTCAGTTCCCTCAATGCCAGTCTGGACCCCCTGCTTTTCTATTTCTCTTCGTCAGCTGTGCGCAGAGCCTTTGGAAGGGGGCTGCAGATCCTGAGGCATCAGAGCGCCTCCCTGCTGGGGCGCAGAGGCAAAGAGACAACAGAGGGGACGAGCGGGGACAGGGGTGTGAGTCAGGCAGAGGGAGCTCCGAGTTCTGACTTCACCACAGAATAGGGGTGTCCGGGACCTTTGGAGGCACTCTGGGTGACACAGGCATTGAGCAGGCTGGGACAGGGGGAACGTGAGGTTCCGTGAGTTCCTGTCCCAGAGTCAGAAATCCTCGGATGGATCCACTACGGGAGCTGTAGAAATCTCTCTCAGCAGCTTGGTATCCCTTCCTGACTGAAGTTTTCTTCCCAAAGGAGCACAGCTCCATGACAAAGGAAGAAATGGTTTGGCATAGAAGCACCCTCAGACCATGGTTTCAGGAGCAATGTAGCTAATACAAATTCAGTCCTTGTGACACAGTGGTAGCTGGGGACGATCAGGCTAAAGCCGAGTCCTAAAGCCATCTTGCTACAGGCTTTGAAACAACATCTAGACCCTGGGCCAGCTGTTGATACTGGAAAGAAGACAATGGGAAGAGATGGAAGGGAATACAAGGGAATACCAAATGAGGTCAAAGAAGACTCAGGAAGATTATGAGTCAAGGGAACTAAGAGGGAGGACCAGGGACTTTGAACTCTAACCATCTAGGTCTGCACTGTATCGCTCTGACCTGCTGCTTTGTAAGTATGCTCCAGTCATCTTCAAGTGTGTATTCTGTCTCCCTGTATTAAACCTGCCAGAGGTCTGGGTCTTGTCTCCTCCCTCCATGGCACCCCGCACGGGCTAGGACACAGCCTGGTGCCTGTCAGTCAGAAGTCAACACTGACTATAGGACAAGAGCAGACAACCCGGTCTGGCAGATTGAAAATAAAAATGGTAAAACCCTGAAGCGAGTGTCCACAATTTTTGTGCTTTTCTACAAGCCCGGGGAAGGCAAACATGAAACGAAGAAGCCGACTCAGCAGCACAGAGGGAGGGTTATGCATGTGAAACCACAAAGTATTTTAAGGTCAGGATGTAATGAGTGGAGCTAGGGAGGGGGCTGGTGGGATCTTGTTTCCAGTGATGGACAGAGACGGGACTTAGAAAGAAGATGTGGGGTGAATCCTGACTTAACCGTATCGAGTGTATCTCAGGAGTCTCAAACACATGAAGCTCCCCCTTAGAAACCTGCAGAGCTTTCCTATTGTCAAAAGTTTTCGTCCCAGGAACTCCTATCCTATCATTCCATTGCCTACTTCGTATCCTGTCTCCCTGCCCAATCCCACCTTCCTAACTCATTTCTCCACAATAAGGACCCCTAGCTCTTGTTCTCTCTCTCTCTCTCTCTCTCTCTCTCTCTCTCTCTCTCTCTCGTTAACTGACCCTAGCCCCAGACTAGTGGTCTGCTATTGAGGCAATACAGCAGAATTGCAAGGTACAAAAGTAGATCACATGACCCCCTCAAATCTACTGATTCTCTGGGGGTAGGACAGCAGATGAGCTTTTAAAAGCTCCCTGGTGGGGCGCCTGGGTGGTTCAGTGGTTGAGCATCTGCCTTTGGCTCAAGTGGTGATCCTGGGGTCTCTTGATCAAGTCCCACATCAGGCTCCCCACAGGGAGCCTGCTTCTCCCTCTGCCTGTGTCTCTGCCTCTCACTCTCTCTCTGTCTCTTATGAATAAATAAATAAAATCTTAATATAATATAATATAATATAATATAATATAATATAATAATCTCCCTGGTGATTATGCAAGGCAGCTCAGGAAAGGAATTGCTGATCTAGCTCGGGGGCCCAATCTGTCCAAGAGAGCATTCTTCAGAGAGGCCCTTCCTGCTTCTAAGTCCCTCCTACTGCAACCCCACATACCCTCATCTTGATTACTTACTTTTTCCACTTTTATAAAATCCCACTCAATATTCACTTTCTCCAGAAAGACTTTCCTAATTATTCTCACCCAACTGAGAGGTCATTTTCTCAGTTTCCCTTCCTCAAAAACCACTGGACTGGTGTAAGAGTCCTGACTTCACTGTTAGTTCTGCTTACTAGCTGGATGGCCTTGAGCAAGTCTCCATCTCCAGCCTCCATTTCCAAACCATAATCATGAGGATGACATATACCTCCCACAGTTATTAAGTTCCAGACTGGATGTGTAAAATTGCCGAACATTTTTACAGTAACACTTAGCTCTAAGATATCGACCCAAGTGAAACACAGCTACACCCCCACCTAAAAGAAATATAGTATGTGGAAATTTAAAATGATGTAAATCATATATTAGATAGCCAACTGTATAGGATGGTTTGACAGTAACATGTGAGAAAAGAATCTGGGATTTTCTGCTGACTGTACATCTGGGATGTATTGCACCTTCCAAAAAAGCTTATTTGATTTTGGGTGCCATTGAAAGAAATAGAGTCTAAATAAGTTGAGTATAACCCCACATCACTGAGGTCTTTTTTTTTTTAATTTTTTTTAATTTATATATGATAGTCACACACACACAGAGAGAGAGAGAGGCAGAGACACAGGCAGAGGAAGAAGCAGGCTCCATGCACCAGGAGCCCGACGTGGAATTCGATCCCGGGTCTCCAGGATCGCGCCCTGGGCCAAAGGCAGGCGCCAAACCGCTGTGCCACCCAGGGATCCCTGTCACTGAGGTCTTAATCAGTAGCATGTTCAGCATCTGAGTGCCACATTTTTAAAAAAAAGATTTATTTACTTTGAGAGAGAGAAAAAGTGCTTGCAGATGAATGGAAGGAGAGAATTTTTAAAGCAGACCCTCCACTGAACAAGGAGCCTGACTAGGGGCTTGATCCTACAACCCATGAGATCACAACCTGGGCCGACACCAAGAGTCAGGCACTCAACCAACTAAGCCACTCAGACTCCCCATTGGCAGTACATTTTAAAAAAGACATTAACTGGGCAGCCCGGGTGGCTCAGCAGTTTAGCGCCTGCCTTCGGCCCAGGGCGTGATCCTGGAGACGGGGGATCAGTCCCACATCAGGCTCCCAGCATGGAGGCTGCTTCTCCCTCTGCCTGTGTCTCTGACACACACTCTCTCTCTCTTTCTCAAGAATAAATAAAACCTTTAAATTAAAAAAAAGACATTAACTCAGGGATCCCTGGGTGGCTCAGCGGTTTAGCGCCTGCCTTCGGCCCAGGGCATAATCCTAGAATCCTAGGATTGAGGTCCGCATCAGGCTCCCTGCATGGAGCCTGCTTTTCCCTCTGCCTGTGTCTCTGCCTCTCTCTCTCTCTCTCTCTGTGTCTCTCATGAATAAATAAGTAAAATCTTTTTAAAAAATAAAAATACATTAACTCAGAGGTGCCTGGCCATTTCAGTTGGTAGAGCATGCGATTCTTGATCTTGGAGTTTTAAGTTTGGAGCCCCACATTGGGTGTAGACATAACTTAAAAATATAATCTTTTTTTGAAAAAAGATTTTTTTAAAGATTTATTTATTTATTCATGAAAGACAGAGAGAGAGAGAGAGAGAGAGAGAGAGAGAGAGAGAGGCAGAGACACAGGAGGAGGAAGAAGCAGGCTCCATGCCGGGAGCCCAATGCAGGACTCGATCCCGGTACTCCAGGATCACACTCTGAGCCAAAGACAGATGCACTTAACCCCTGAGCCACCCAGGCATTCCACAAATAAAATCTTTAAAAAAAAAACCCATTAACTCAAGGAATCAAGTCCAGAAGAATTACCCAAATGTTTGGAGATTGAAAACCATATAATGATGATGATGATTGGTGACAGTGATATGTAATAAAAGCCAGACACTGTTCCAGAGAAATAGCCTGAGATGATTAAGGGAGCTTTCCAAGGTCAACAAGTGAGAGGAAGTATGAATCCAAGTCTGCCTTTCTCCCAAGTATATGCTTTTTTCATTGATTCATGAGAAGCAAGTAAGAGAATGTTGGAAATGAGGTCCATCGCACGGAAGGTGCATTCTATGTAGCTCCGAAAGGGAAAAGAAAGGACCATGGGCAGAAGCAAGGGAGCTGCATCTCCAACAGTCAGGGCTGTTTAAATGGAACTGAGCTATCTCACTAAGGTAGTCACTCCCCAGTTCCAGGAATTGAAGTGGAAGGTAGAAAACACCCAGCCTGGGACATTGAGGAAACTCACATATCTGATAAGAACCCCTTCCAACTCAGAAATTCCCAGAGTTTCAGGAACAGGGCTGCTCTTATTAATCAAGACCGTGAAAGAAAATCTCCCCACCTAGTCTGAGCTTTTCAGGGTGAAGCTTTTGCCACTTTCTAACAAGCACCTGATCTGTATCAAGTCACTTGATATATAGCCCATTTCTTCACTGGGAAATTAATAATTCATCTGTTCAACAAATATGTACTGGTTACCTACTATAAGCCAGGTACTTTTCCAAGGGCTAAGGATACAGAGTACATAAGAGACAAGGGGGCCACCTGGGTGGCTAAGTCGGTTAAGCATCTGCCTTTGGCTCAAGTCATGACCCCGGGGTCCTGGGATTGAGCCCTGCATCCCTGCATCCCTGCATCCCTGCATCCCTGCATCGGGACTTCCTGCTCAGCAGGAAGCCTGCGTCTCCCTCTCCCTCTGCCTGCCACTCCCTCTGCTTGTGATCTCTCTCTCTTTCTCTTTCTGTCAAATAAATAAATAAAATATTTTTCAAAAAAAAGACCTTAAAAAAATAAGAGACAAGGTATCTGCCCTCTTAGGGCATCTGTTCCAGTAGGAAAAAATTATTAATAAACAAGTAATCAAGTAAGGTAATTTCAGAATATGACAAATGGTTTTACAAGTAGACTAAAATAGCGACATGGGAGAAAGTATAATTAGAGGTTAAGGGATTTTAGAAGATTCTCCTGAGTCAGGGATGTTCAGTGGAGACCTGAATGATGAGAAGGAGTTGCCAAAGGCCCATGGGAAGAGCATTCTAGAAACAGGAACTGCTGATGCAAAGACAGGGAGGAGGGAGAAAACTTTAGTTTCCCAAAGGCTGAGATAAGGCCAGTGTGGAGCTAGAGCAGTGGTCTGCAAATGTGGGCATGTACTGGAATCATGTGGAGAGTTTGCTGAAGCACAGATTACTATCTTCCCTCCCCACAGTTTCAGAATGAGTAGATCTGGGATGGGGCCCAAGAGTCTGCAGTTCCAACAATCCTAAGTGATACTGATGCTGGTGGTCATGACTACACTTTAAGAACCACTGGGCTAGGATACAGTGACCTGAGGGAGAGCCAGAGAAGGTGAGGTCAAAGAGGTCAAGAGGAACTAGGCCATGCAAACCTTTAGGCCATAACTAGAAGTCTGAATTTATTCTAAGAGCTTTGTAAGCCATTCAAGGGTTTTAAGCAAGAGAGCGGAATGGTCTGATTTCCATTTTAAGTCAATCACTCCGGTATCTGTCCCCACCACCAAAGGGAGATGGTTGTTAGGATCAAGGAGATAATGTCATGACAGAGCTAAGAGCCATAACATACCACTGCAAGCATGCAGGGTTTTCACCAGACTGGTAGCTCCCTGAATGTGACGGCTGTTTCTTTTCTCATTAGAATTGGCTATCCAAGGGCCAGCTACCCAGGAGGAGGCCCTTGTAAGTCATCATGCGTCCACTTGATAAACAGATGACCCTATAATGTGATAGAAAGGGTCTAACAACTAGTTTTTGGGATTGGTTGGGGGGTGGAGTGGGTAACAACAGGGTAGGGGGTAATGAAGCCCTGATTTGTAGAACTTGCCAATTTCTGCAGTATACACCCCCCCACACCCCCCCCCCGGCCAACTTCTACCAATATGAAGACACTGAACGTGGGCCTGGCAAGAGATGTTAATGATCAGTTCTTGCAAGCCAGCTCAAGCACATCACTGGATGTACCTCCCAGCACATTTGCTCAACTGGCAGACAG